TTTTAGAAGCCAAAAAACCCCCAGCTGCTCTGTAAGCTCTGCACCAAGCATGACAAAGAGAAGGAAGACTATGAACCACAAATGTGAGGCAGCACCAGGCCAGGGAAATGCAGGCATTTGAGCTGGAAAGGTGATTAATGACACCTTGCAAGCCTACAACACCTGGTGAGACCTGAAATGCTGTGCATAATTCAGGTCATCCTGCTACAGGAAATATGAATGCAAATTGGGCTGATAGAACAAAGTACCAGTGGGCTGGCCAGGAGAAGGGAGACCCTACCTCATAAGGGAAAATTAGAAATGCTCTGAGGAGCTGTGTGTCTGTGCCCCAAGCTGCTCTGAGCACAGCAGCCTCAGCTCAGGACAGGGCTGGCATCTCCTAAGGCCATGAGGGTGGGCACAACAGGCTGAGCCTATTCTAGTGGCTGGATATTTTTCAATTAGCCTGAGATGTGAGAATAGAAATTCCCCAAAATCTTGAACTCAGCTTGTCTAACACTGTGGGTAAAGGATTTGAATATTTTCATGGATATAGGAAAAGGATGAATGTCAAAGAGCTAGAGGAGCTAGAGTTCTTAAGGTTCAGAGAATGCTGGTGAGAGGTAAAAGAAACCCCAAAAACTTCAGCTGAAAAATCACAAGAATCTTTCAAAACACTGGTAGGAGTGGTTGAAACAGGTTCCTGTACAAGTGGTGGAGTGCAACTAACTTGACCAGATTAAGAAATTGAGTATCTAATCCCAAATTACTTTGTGGTTCATCTGAAAAAGATTCTACAAACACATACCTAGAGAACAAGGCAGTCATACACAATCCTACATAGGTGTGAAAAATTACAAATATTTTCCTCCAATTTGAATACATTTTACTTTATAAAAACATATTTTGTTAAAATCGATCAATCAAACAAGCTGCCCAAGAAAAGTGGAAACCCTTTTTAGTTTTAGATGAAAGTGACTGATGGGCAGTTTTCAGCAAGTCAGCACTTGAACAATGAAGGTATTCCACCAGAAAGTGTTGACAAACCCTGGTTCCCTGGCAGTAGATGCAATGCTAATTCCTACAGCTATTTTGAAACAAACGTGCTGAAGGCAGTAATGGGAAAAAGCAGCAGCGTGCAGCAGATGCTAAGTCTACCCTATCAGCAAAGAAAAATCATGTAAGGAGGGTCAATTCTTACATGTTGCAATTGCAAAACAGTGTGTTAGCCTCATTCAGGGAAGGGAGGAATGATCCCTGATCAGAGCATGGGATGAGGGTCAGATTCAGCAGCAGCACAAGGCAGACACCTCAGTCACTCTTCTATGTGTCTGGCTGGCAGGACCTGTCCCATTACTCATTTTCTGAGCACTCCTGCTAGATTGGCTCCATTCTTCTGCTAAATGGGCTCACTGATTAGAGCATTCATATGGGAAATGTGGGTTCAATTCTTTTCTCTCGCTGAGCATAAACAAGCCTGCATCTTCCAGGGGAAAACTCCAACCATTATGCTAACAGGTATTCGGGAATTATGATCTTGCTCAGCCCTTCTTGTTGAAGCTTTGCATGGAATAATAAACATACATTAGAGCAAGGAGCAAAACGAGCCCTGAGTAAGGATTTGTAGCCAATGGGGAGCAGACTTGCACCAGCCTTGGTGTAGCTACACACATGTGTAGGTCTGTAGTGACACTGTGAGCATCTCCTGGAGCAGGGAGCAGCCCTTGGGTTTCTCCATTTCCCAACAGGTCCCACTGCCAGTAGAGAACTGAGTTGTGCCAATGCTTGTGTTTTCCACCCCTCCACACCCCCTTTTCTTGTTACTTTTAGCTCTTATGACAGAGTGGGACGGATGGGCCAGTGAGAGATTCACCCAGCAGCACATCTGGATGGGAGGTTCATAGAGAGACACAGGTTCACACTGGTTTTTTACAAAGAAGGAGTGAAAACCCAGATCTTTTACTGCCCAGTCCTGTGGGCATTTATCAATGTGATGGAAAGAAGAAAAGAAAGAAAAGGAGAAAGAAGAAGGGAAAGAAGAAGGGAAGGGGAAGAAGAGAGAGAGAGAAAGAGAGAAAGAGAGAAAGAAAGAGAGAGAGAAAGAGAGAAAAAGAGAAAGAGAAAGAGAAAGAGAAAAAGAGAAAGAAAGAGAGAGCAAGAAAGAGAGAGAGAAAGAGAGAAAGAGAAGGAGAGAGAAGGAGAGAAGGAGAGAAGGAGGGAGAGAGAAAGAGAGAAAGAAAAAGAGAAAAAGAAAGAAAAAGAGAGAGAGAAGGAAAGAGAGAAGGAGACAAGAAGAGAAAGAGAGAAAGAGAGAAAGAAAGAAAGAGAGAAAGAAAGAAAGAGAGGAAGAAAGAAAGAGAGGAAGAAAGAGAGAAGGAAAGGGCTTTTTTCCCTCTCCATGCCCTGTGAGGTGGGATGCACATGGGTATCAAACTCAACAAGGCTCAGGGTAGGTCAAGGCATGGCAGAGGATCAGGGTTTGACATTTCTGTATCCACTGCTGTTTGAAGAGGCTGCTGTGGATGATTCAGCTCTCTTTACATTTTATACATGCTTTTCTGGATGTGTTTTAGGACCCAATTGCCCTCATTTTAAGCAGCCTGCCATCCAGCTGGGGTTGTACATTCCTGCAGCAGGTGTTTGAGGATGAAGGTGCTGGAAACAAGCAGCACCTGTGATCTGTTGTGAATTTAGCTCTTAATGAGGGCTGTAGATCTAGTCCTAGGCACATATCCCATTTTCAAAATGTTCTAAGAGATTGAATAATAAGTCAGTAGTTATCAGTTAATTACTGAATTGTGAAAAATGCCAGAGCAGATGAAGAAACACTCACACAAAAGCAATGTATTCATCTCAACAGCTACATTTGCCTGATAATGCAGTTCAAAATTATTTATTTACGCTCATATTTGCACTGCAGAGCAATAAAAAATGTTGTGAAGTATTTTTTTATAAAGAATCAATCTCGTTACATTTTGCAAAAAGTCAAGAAGTTGCAATAATGTGAGGCCTTCCAAAAAACTGTAGCTGCTATTAAATATTTGCTGAGAAATGCTAAAGAAACCATTGTTTTTTATGTCAGTTTTATGGGATATGTGGATAGGTAAAATGCAACTTAGTGAGGTTTACTGAATTGCTTACTGATTCCAGGCATATAATTCACAGGATCCGAGGATGGATTTGCATATGTTTGTCTTATTACATAAACTGAACAGAGATTTCTTGTAGATATCAAACAAAACCTGCTTGAAATATATTCCTATGGCTGCCAAAAGGGGGTTTGTAATGTGCTGCTAGATACAACTTGTCAGCAGTAAACACAATTCAAGAAAACCCCAACATAATGCAGAGAAGAGATTTGAAGGTGCACTCTTCTCTCAGTTACAATTACATTTTACTGTTTTGTGGACTTGCTGATGGAGATTTCCCTAGCAGCTGGTGCAGGGAGAGCTGCCCTGAGCATCCTCTCTGACTTGCAGTGTGACCAAACACTTGATCAAATCAGGGCAGGTGGCCTGAGATGTGAACTTGTCAGCAGGAGGAAAATGCAGCAGGACAGTGAATCTGTGCTGCGACAGTGCTGCAGCAAGGATGTTTGACAGTGGGCACAGGATCTTTTCCCACCTCAGCTTTGTCAGGCACAGCTGTGAGCCTTCCCTCCATGACATATTATGTCCTGGCACAGAGACAATAACAGGCAAGGCTTCAAAGAGGTGTCCTGATTTCATTCACTGAATTTGAAAACAGCAAGGAGAGAAATCCCTCAGATTGGAAAAATGAGCAGGAGTTAACTGTGATGATGGGGTTTTTTGATGCAGTGAGGTAAGAGGCTGGAGTTACCCACAAATCACACCATTTATTGAGAAAGGTGGGATTTGTCATCATTGATCACACAAGTGCTCTGAATTCTGCCTCCAGCTGAGACCAATACCTGGTGCTGGGATGAAAAAGCCCCACAATACATTTAGCTCAGCTGAGCAGAGGGAAACAATTGAACCTGGCTGCTACAGCCCAGAATTCCCTTATTTATCTGCACTGCCAGAGTTACATTGGCTGAGAGCAATATGACATTTTTTCATTTCCAACCCTTCCTGTTGAAGTCAGTGGGAATGTTGAGTGCACATGAACTGCAATGATCATAAAATTAGTCAGACTTATTAAAAATCCACTCACAACATTTAAAACTCCATGACCATCTGTTGAAATGCATTCCACACGCCAGCTAGGGAAAACTGAATTTTAAAAAAAGCCCCAAATTAAAATCAAAACCAAAAATCCAGTCCTTAGCAATTCCAGTCAGAGAACTGAAATTTTGAGCTTAGCCACAGCTACAGGAGGTATGGATGGCAAGTGGGATGAAGGAGTAGAGAGCAGGAGACACAAGAAAATCTGATGCCTAGGTATCACTTCAAAGAACATTTCTTTCAGCAACAGGTCAGCACAAATAGCCTCTGAGCCATCCTTCATCCCATCATTGCCACACACTGCCCCTCCTAAATGCTGATAAAACTGTTTGGGTTTATTTTTGGGTTATTTTTGGGCTGAAGAATCCTCTGAGCCACTTCAGAAGTAGCCCCAGAAATATGGAGCAGAAGGGAAAGCATGAGGGAGAGACCAAATGACCTAAGAGGTTTTTGTGACCTTGACTTCTCCAAGTCATTAAAGAATTCAGACCCTCCATCCCTTAGGAATGGTCAAAATGTAGTTGAGAGTGCCCATTTCTTTTTGGTTGTTTAGCAAACAGGTGTGTGGACAAACAGGAGCCTCTGCTGTGCTCCCACAGCAGATGACAGAGCTGTGGTAGGGGGTCAGCTGCAGTCTGGGGAGCCAGAGGCTGCTGCACCTCTTTCCTCAATGCAGCTGCCAATCAGCTTTTCTATTAGTTGTTTACATCACTATTTTACTTGTTTATGTTACTGTATTAGGGTTTTATTTTTCCTGTTTGTTATGTGCAATTATTTGATTAAATCTCTTTTGCAAATAGTTTTTTTAAAATAAAATATAGACCAAAAAGAGCTTACCTATGCTGCTGTGAGAGGCCAGCTCTATGGATGTGTTACCAGGTGTGCTAGCATCTGGGATACTTTTGTTTCCTGAGGAGATTCCTGCAAAAAGAAATGTGCTTATCACCTGAAGGCTTCTAAGCCAATAAACCAATACAAGGAATCACATACAGCAGCAAGGTGAATTATCTTCATACATAAGAATAATTTTTTGTGTTCTCCTTACCATACCCCCTAAGCTCCACAGACACAGAGTACAGGAATTTCCTTTACAGCAATCTACAAGAGTTGCTACACATTAAAACATGGTAGATGGAATCTGAGATACTCGTATGCCCCAAAGGTCTGCTCCTTGAGGGATGTCAAAATCTCTAATGAAAATATTTATCCTTGTAACACCTCCAGAAGCCAGGAAGACAGAGTTATGGCTGTGCACAGATGGGAAACTGAGCTAGGTAAGGTTAGCTCCAAGGAAAACATTTATTCTTCTGGGGTAGAGATGAAGTTCATGAGTTCACAAATCCTCTGTAGATTCCAGTTTGGTGTGTGGGAAACTCAAGGAAGCTTTGACTCATGTCTTTATTAGCTGGGCTCATTTTGACTCAGACTGCTGAAGTTCTGTTATTGACTGAAACAAAGCTGTGTCCTCTTTGCTGAGCTGAATGCGGCAGCCCAAGGGAGCATCCCCTACCAAGGAAATCCATTTACCAAGGAAATCCACCAAGGATCACTGAGCAGAACCCCAAGGAGCCCCTTCCAATCCATGTGTGCCAAGAATCCCCGACCCATGTGGGAAATATTGAGTGTGGAAGACACGACCTGATCATCTGTGGCTAAAAATTCTGGTCAGAAATGTTGGGAGGGTTGTCTCCATCACTTTTATTTTAGTGTCTCAGTGACAGGGTAACAGTCTAGAAGGTGTGAAAGCTGGAGTTGTCTTCACCAGCTCAAGAAAATTCAAGCCCACATCACCCACTCCCCATTACACAATGCAATGTAAATATCTCATTTACATGAGCTCATTTATCTCATTTCCACTGAGGGACTGGAGTTCTCTTACCTTGTGTTCCCAAATCAAGGGTTCCTCAGCCTGTTAAATAACACTGGAAAACAAAACAAAACAAAACCAAAACTCTGTAAAAGTCAAATTGTCAATCTGTTAACAAAAAAAGCTAAAGAACTATGATACCTCTTTGTGCCAGATACTTTCACTGTGAAATAAGATCCATGCTAGCATAAACTAGAGTGAAGAATAAACTTGCATGCAGGTAGGATGGTGAGAAACTAACACCCATTTTTCAGAGAGATTTTTTTTTTGTAATTTTCTGTGCTTTTTTGATAGTCTTAAACATTTATGTAAACCCACCATATTTGTAGAAAATTCTGTTCTAGGAACAAAACTGTTATTGCACCTAGACTGAAAGGATTAAATTTCATATTATGAATAATGAAAGTTCTAGATGCTCTTGCCAGGAATAGAATTAAAGCACAGGACAGATATCTGCTATGGAATAGAATAGCTCGTGACATAATTAATATTTGTTGCACTTTAAAAGGAAGTTAAAAAATTTACATAGGATTCTCATTGCAGTAATTTAAAATAAGAATAATTCCAGCCTAAAATGAATTAAATGTTCCCAATTTTTTTTTCCTCTGGGAAAATTATGTTTTCAACAAGATGAATCTTTCAGCATTATTTTTTCCTTAGTATCAAAAATGCAGTTTTTCTTACCAGGTAAAAAGAATGATCTTTATCATCACAGATCTTCAAGGGGTCCAAGCAATGTTTTTTGTCACTCCAAAGACTTGTAGTCACTGTCTTTTCCCATTACATGTAATAATAAGGAATTCTTATTAAGATATATTACCTAAGATGGGAACTTAGACATTAGAAAATATTTTCTGAAAAAAAATTGGACTCTCAATTAGAAGTGTTGGAAAATAATTCTACAGAGAGGGACTGCAGTGGTATTTCTAAATGAAAATATTCTGACTTGTGTCTGTATGTTTTGTTTTCGTTAGTTTAAAAAAAGCAAACCAACCCTTTTGGGCAAATGTAAAACATCTGTATATTTTTATTTTCAAGAACTAAAAACTAAGGTGACCAACAAAGCCTTTTTGGGCAAGAGTTAACAATTTGTATGTATGTACTTATTTTTCCTGAAATTTTCCATGAAGATAAAATTTGACCAACTATTTGTATACTTGAAACCCAATAGAAAAATCAGTTTTCTGGATATATACATATTAATAAATTCAATTCAAAGTTCCTCTGGCTGAAAGGGTGATAAGAAATAGGTGAGTGAATAGACTAAAGCAATGGAAAGAGATATTTCATCTGAAATAAAATTCAAGCATTGTGTGGGATTGTTATGTAACAAGACAGAAAGGACTGAGGCTTTTTTTGCAGCTGAAGAAAATGAGCTTTGCAGATTTTCCAAGGTCAAATTAGCTGCTGGATGAAAGGTTCTTTATTGAAGTGGGAAGAAGCAGATTTACACAACAGTGATGTTTTGGCAAACGAGGCACTTTGATGCCACCATTGTGAGGAAACGCTGTCATGTCATCTAAGTCCTTACTTAACCTGAAATCACTTTGGCTGCAGCCAAAATAACTCAAGGAGGCCTCAAAAAATTACACTTGTAAAGTAAAACATGGGGGAACTTCTCAGGGACAGGACTGTGGAACTTCAGCTTAAAAAATGCTGAAAATAAGGAGCAGCTCCCACGAGGGGAATGGCAAAGAACACACATTCAGAACTCTTCCTCAACTCTAATTTAAATATTTTGGTTTTGTGGATTGACAGAGATGCCCTGCACTTCCTGGAGTCCTCAAGAAGTTCCTTCTGTGCTCTCATGCAATTATTGACAGGCACAGAGGGCATGGGGAGAACTTTTATCAAAATGCAGCAGGGATGCAGCCCAGGGATGCTTTAAGGAGACAGTGAGGCTACACAAGCAATTAAAGAGGGTTTTTAGGAGGGCTTGACAGATTGCAGTCTGGTGGCACTACTGTTACTTTCTCACTTACAAGCTGGCTTGATCTGATTAACAACAAAGCCCTGGAACAGCACAAAACCAACACTGAAATATGTCTCAGAAAGCATGGAGCTTTTTAAGGTTTCTTTGTCTTTCTGGGGGCAAAAAAAAATTTTTTAAAGAGGGAAGAAAAAAAGTTGTACAGACTAAAGTGACTCTGCTCCATGGTTAGCAATATCACCAGAATGCTTTCCATTAAAACAAGGTCGGTCTACATAAAATGCTGAAAGAAATCATGGCTTCAATGGGATATCCCATATAAGGAATCTCGAAGTACGAATGTCATGGAAAGAATCTTAATGGGGCACACAGAACCTTTCTACTAATAGGGAATATTTTGTGCAATGGTAAGAGAAGTTTTTGTGCTTGTCAGACTAACAAATAAAATTTAAAAAAAAAATATTTGTAGGGTGAATTTTTTTTTTTTTTTGCAGGGAATAACTAAAATATATGAAGCCTAGTGTGGTTTTAATGGAATCCAAATTTAAGGTAGGACACTTAATCTAAGTTGCATGCATTATGAAAGGAGTCAAATAAAAATATGAGGTACTCCCAGGTATGAAAAGAAGAAAAAATACAAGACAATTTGCATATGCATCTTTGTCATCTGCAGAGTCAAGTCTGAACCTGCTCCCCGCACAAGAAACTGAAGTTCTGACATTAAATTCAATGAGTGTGGATGCAACCCCTCTAGATCTCACAGTCAACATGTATATTTTAATAGATATAAATTCACACCATCCACTGGTTAGAAATCACCTTTTCTCTGTATAGATTTACTGTCTGATGCTGATCAACTTTATATAGATGAAAACCAATGACCTAGAAGCAGAAGAGCTTCACCAGTTTAATATTTCCTCGGGCTACTTGCAATAACTACTAAAGTAGAAAACAAATAGATAACAAGAAATACAAGATCAAGAAACTGATTAAATAGGGCAATATGTTTGTGTTTAACCAGGCTCAGCAGCCTCCTAGGAATAAATAAGCAGATTCTCCCTTTGGGAAAAGTGGACAACACCACAGAAAATTCATGGCAAGAGCCACAGGAGAGGAAGAGATTTGAAATGGCCAACAGAAGAGCATAAACAAAGTTTTAAAGGGCCATAGAAACATCAAGATGTTAAGGTGCTAACAGCATTATTAATAACCCCCAGGTTAAAATTTAATTGTTAAGATAATCATCAAAACAAAGTTCCTGCAAGGTACAGAAAGTGGCTTTAAAGCAGGTCTTCAGGTACATGAATGGAACTGCTCTAGACAGGAGAAAGATTTGGGCACAGTGCTCATATTAGCTAAAAAAAGCCTTCACAAGGCTTTACTGGAAGGCCTTAAATTTGCAGCAGAGAGCCAATGCCTTATATACATATTTGCCTCTGAAAAAACACTGCATTTGTCCACAGAGAGAAGATGGCTGCCTCTGATCTGCAGAGAGCGGAATGAGAACACTCATCCAAGTCAGAGCAAACAAGGTGCACAGGTACTCACAGAGCAAACCCCGATGGTGCTGCTGGCCATGCACTCCCAAAGAAAAAAAAAATAAAATAAAAGGAAAGAAAGGTCAGTGGAATAAAACATTAATATCCTAATCAGTTTCCCAATCTTCAAATGAAATTCAGAAAAGAGAATTTCTTGCACAAAGAGATCATAGCAGTTAAAATAATAAAATAAGTAAACAAGCCCTGACATAATGGAGGATTTTATGCTGCTCTTTCATTGCAACCCTGGTCAGTCAAATATAGATGGAAGTCAGATAGGTAAACACACAGAAAGAAAAGGAAAAATTCACCTGAAAATGGTCTCAAAAATGAAAAAGCAATTCTGAAGAAGATGCTGATCTTTGCATACATTTTAAGAAGATTTTCAGGGGAGTTTACCTTGAATTTTTGATAAAATTGTTGCTTATCTTCTTTTTTCATATAATTAAAGCTTTATTTTCAGTAAAAACCTCCACAGCTATTTCAATAAAAAATGTTGACACAAATATCACGACAGATTCCACAACAAGAATTTTGGAAAAGATTGGAATTCTGTATGCAAATATATTCAGTTCTGAAAAAGGTTCAGGCTGATTGTTTTGCAATAAGCACATGCAGTTTTTACTGCTGGTATTTTATTGGAAGAACTTCAGACTATTTCAAAATTTGGATCTATATTTGCATTTCTGAAATTCAAGACAGCTGTCAGTTTTCATATAAAAAGCCCACCCTCCTCTACTGAGAACTCAACAGTTTTTTAGAGTGAAATAATAAAAACATGAGAAATGCTTACTTAGGCACAAGATACTTTCTCCTTGTATCTGCCACAATTTTATTAATTTAAATTTACCAATATTGATGACTTTGTGCTTGCTGGGTTTGGTTTCAACCTTAACATAATTGAAACAGCCAAAAATTCTGGTGAAGTCAATGAAAATTTTGCTTCCATGACCTGAAGCTTCAAATTTTTACAGTGTTACTGACTAAAAAAAGAAAACCCAAACCAGTTTATTGTGAATATAAAAATAAAACTTAACTTTTGATCCTTAAATCTCTATAGTACTTAGGAAAATGGAAATCAATTAAAAACTATATAAAATTCAAAATTTCAATTAATGAAATGAAAAAGGAATAGCATCCTGCACTGGCATACAACTGGACATTTGAAAAGTAGTTGTGTCTAACATGTATTCAAGCCTGTGTTAGAGTTGTTACTGGAGAAAAGAATCCTTTGTAATGGTGATGATTTTCTGTTTCATCCGTCACATTGCATAACCATATCCAGACTGCCGAATTATTACAATCTACCCCAAGTCAAGTTTGCTACTGCTATACCCCCGTCATGCAAACAAAAATATTAATGCAAAGCAATACACAAACAAAATCCCCTTTACCCCATACACCTTTATTAATTACAAACTGACTTTCTAGAAAGCTCATGCAAAGTACATTGGGAGGAAAACCTGAGATGGGATCTCATTCTTTTTTTTAAAAATGGTATTCTTTCTGCTTTTTAAAAGGCTGTACACAGCAGTTCTGTGTTTCCTGCAGAATTTCACCTTTTTTGATTGTGGTTAAAAAAAAATCTAAAATTTTCCAGACCCTTACCATGCTATGGAAGTGAGAGGGATTTCCCTGAGAAACTCTCACCTCTGCTTGGAAGTGGCAGGTCTGTACAGACAGTTCTCTAGTATTGTATTTGCAGGGTGCCTCGTGGCAGGAAGGAATGATGGATCTGACTCCATGTTCTCAGATGGCTAATTTATTATTTTATGATACTATATTATATTAAAGAATACTATACTATACTATACTAAAGAATACAGAAAGGATACTTACTGAATGCTAAAAAGATAATAATGAAAACTCGTGACTCTTTCCAGAGTCCTGACACAGCTTGACCCTGATTGGCCAAAGAGTGAAAACAACTCAAACCAATTAAACAATCACCTGCAGGCAAACCATCTCCAAACACATTCCACATGAGCACAACACAGGAGAAGCAAATGAGATAAGAATTGTTTTCCTTTTTCTCTGAGACTTCCCAGCTTCCCAGGAGAAAAATCCTTGGAGAAGGAATTTTTCAGAAAATATGAATGTGACACACTGGTGTCCACGCCAACCACAAGGAGAATTCATGGTGCCTTCCCCTCTTTCTCCCTCCCAAGCTTTGCCCCTGTCACCTGGTCGTGCCTGGTCATTGTGTGATTGGGGTGACAGAGAAAGGGCAAATCCTTCCCCAAACTCACCACAGCAGGGACACCCCTCTCCTGTTCCAGCAT